ATGTATGTTACCCTAAAATCAGCTTTTTCGATTGATTTGGTCGTTAATGGTATTTCTCAGTTGACGTCCTAGTTAGCTCATAAAAAAACATTCTAAATAGCGTTCCACATTAGAATCCATACTTGTCAAATTATGGAAGTATTACATCATAAATAGCATTCTCCATCTGACCGAATACACAGATCCTTATGCCAAGTACATTATTTTGCCTTATTTTAATCTGTAGTCATCACCTAACCATTAACTACGTAATCAATATCATTCTCCATTTGTTGCCACAGTTATCCTTAATATAGGTGGCTCAGGGTATCAATTAGTGTCACTGGAGTGGCTCTGATCGGAATGTCACAGGGTTCGAGTCCCGTCTGTGGCAGGCAGTCTTATACAGGCAGTCTTATACAGTCTTTATATAGCTAGGTTGAATTCAGTCCCTGTATGGAGGATACATTCATTATATTCTTATTGATATTATTATGTTCTTAAACTGTGTTTTCTCAAAATGTTTAATATTAAATAACTGCAAAGACAACACATGGATAATGCATGGATTTGAGGCTGATTTCAGAAAATATCATCATATCAATAACTACTCTATGAACTCTACGAAACATTTAGATAAATGGGTTTCATATTAATAATAACTGTAATATTAGTAATAACCACATTATTATTATTATTATTATTATTATTATTATTATTATTATTTCAATAAAATGCCGATATTAAACCATTATTGTTTTTGAGATATTTGTCTCTCGAGTATGTTTCGGTGCTTATTAACAAATAATCCTAGGCCGGATAAACATTTTTTCAAATTACGTATTTTATACGATTCTCTATATTTCTTCTTGAATGCGTCCTCAGGTGTACTGCGACAAACGTCAACCAAATAGCTCCAACAATTGTTCTGCGTACTTGGGTGCGCAAACAAAGAGTGCGAAATCAATTAAATGGATCAAAAACCTATGCTGTATAACAATCTCAGCTCCCATTATCACTCATTCGTAGATCTAATGTCATTGAAATACAATTCTGCAATAATGAAGTGCAACAGAAGAGCAACCACAGCAAGCATTTCGATTTCGAGTATAATCAGCAACATCCAATAACCTATAACTCAATAAATGCGTCCTGGTAATTTACTTACGCTTTATGCTGTAACCTGTGGTACTGAACGCAATTACACAATTCATTTGTACGATGCGTACATCTATCAGTTAGCCTACACACAACCCCCAAACAGGTGTCCCATATTCAATAATTTTCCTAAATCTAAACAGAAAAAGAGATTTTAAATGTTAAATTACTTATATAACTTATTTATTTATTAAGGAAACCTGACTTGCAATCGTACCATTTTTATAGTCACTAATCAACTAAGCCTTTATTAGGTGTAGGGAAAAACAATCAATTGTTTCATTCTATCGATTATCAAATTGAATTAATTTATTGACCAAAGTGACGTTGATGAACCCTAATAATGGAGATATTACTGCATTATATAGTCATTCACGTCATATACATATTGCATTATACGAAAACTCCATTAAATCACTTAAAAGAGTACACTGTTTCTCCGACACTTCCTGGTAATAATCACTTGGCGAAAAGTTTCATTGATCATATCGTACATAAAAATATAAATCGTGTCCCTTTCATTATTCATTTGGCTGTTTCATCGCTTCTTGAATTTGAAACGTGTATTTGAAGTTTTCAATAATTTTCTCAAAAATAGCAATATTTCTTAAGCATCCTTTATGCCGAGTTCTCAATTTAATAAAATAAACGTTGAGCGGTTTTTAAGAAAAAGTGGTACAAAGAATATAAAAATTGCCAATGTTTGATACAAAATTTCGCAAAAAATACTCATGTTTTTGAAAAATGGACGTGGACTTATTTAAAGATCTGTAATTGATGAACACATTTCACTAAGAAAAATTCATAATTATTCTTCATTGTCGTTGTAGGAGTTTGTTTAAATGTAGAAAAATAAGGGTTTTTAACCAACACGAGACCTAAACCCTTCTCTTAAACGTTCTTTAGACTATCCATCAACGAAATTTCATTAAGGGAAAATTTATTTCTTTAATATTTTAGTTGAAGGAATAGGCCGAAAATTTTTTGAATTTTTTCAATTTCGAAAAATGTGAGTATTAAACAAACATGAGACCTACGCCATTCTCTTAAACGTTCTATAGGATATCCAAAACAAAATATAAAGAAAATCGATGGCGACAATTTTTTTTAAATTTGAAAAATGTCCCAGGGGCTTTATAGGAAGTAGCCCCCGAAATTAAAATATCGACATCAAATTCAAGGGTCCACGACATCAGTCAGATCAATTGAGGAATATCAATTTTGAAGAAAAATTCTGAACAGTTTGCCGCTAGAGTTCTTCACAGATGGACAGTCGGACGCAACGTTTTGCCGTCCATCGACTTTTGTGTATCAAGGACCCACAAAACATGGATTCTGGCTATATCTTATGTCAGAGGATTACTTTTAAATTTAGCAATGGATTTCTCCACCTTTTCGTTACAAGAACTCTGTAATAAAGAGTTTTGTGCCGAAAATCGCGCAGCATAACTTTCTCTTCTTAAGAAGTTCCTTCTTAAACGCGAGAAAGTAAAAATCCCTTCTTATGTTGCAGTTGCGTCGCCGTCCTGCGCTAGTGGCGCTCCCAGCGAGCAGAGCCGTCTCTAGGCGAAGATTCCGCCCGCCCGCGTGTGCTGCCAGGCTGGCCGTTCAGTTGCTGGCCAGCGGGGACCGTGCCACATCTGCCGGAGACGAACGGAGGCTGCGACCGCAAGAGCTGGAACGGCGTGACAGCGGTGAAACCGTTGCGAGTGCGGGAACTGAACGGGAAGAAACATAAAACTGTTGTTTCATGGTGATTACGTTATCTCGGTCGTGCTCTTTACGGATTTACTCTCAAACGCGAATGATAACTGTTGGTGTGCGGTTGGGGAAAGCTACCGGTCTGTATGCACGTGATTCTGTGTATCGTGTTGCGAGTTTGTCTATTTGGAACCGTTTTCGAGTGCACTGTCGTTATTATCGTGTAATTTTCCACTCGCGTACTTGAAAGAAATTGTGCATGTTTCGATCATGACAAGAAAACTACCCAAAGCGCGTGACCGTAAAATGTTGGGTCCGATCATCACCTTCTTCTCGAAAGAAGTGTCACACGCGTCACTTTGTGACGTGTGGAACTACACATAATTCCAGTTGTGTTTGGCTGAGCAGGTGGATCTACTGGAAACCAAACTAAATGAAACGGTGGTATTAACACTGTAACAGACTCTGTTTTACATTGAGTGGAGCCTTCCATACTCACAGTTCAGTTTGAGTGAACGCGAAGTTGAGCAGTGTCCCCAAAACTAACAACTCTTCTAAGAAAAGTGGCAGTTTGTACAACAGCAAAGACCTGATCTTCGATAGCAACCTGTGTTTCTAGTCCTGAACACATCTCTCATCGCATTGTGAGAAACCATGTACACAATCAGTTCTGTTTATGTGAACGTACAATAGGAAATCTGCCCAAAACCTACCAAAACCCACCGACCAAAGTATTCGTCTTTTTCATGTACGCACGGCACGTCCACGCGCGCAGTAAAACAGCAGTGCGATCAGTTCCTGTCCTCATCATCGGATTGACACATCGCGTCGTGTTTACAGCGCACGTGACCGACGCGGGGACGGCGGAAATCTAAGCGGCACTAATACGGGGAGCCGGAGGCTGACGTAGCGCCTCGCGCCGCCGCCGCCGCCGAACGCCATGCGTGGCGCTGCCGTCGCCGCCGCCGCCGCACTCGTCTTTGAGCAACCGCCACCGCCGCCGCCGCGGTGCTCCGAGCTCGGGCCTACGCCACTCGCGGCGACTGACCGCGACACTTCGGCGCGAGCCATGGGGCTGCCAGCCGCCAGCACCCCGCCCGCAGAACTTCGCAGTCCACCGCGGACGGATTGATAACACGCACCAACTTCGATGCCGCTTTGCCGACGACGAGAAACACCTTCTGCCGAGTTTGCGTTCGCGCGGACTGGCAACGCGTCAAAATT